AATAAACTCCCGCCGTGTGTTAACATTGTTACGGTAATTTTCCAGTTTACAGGGTAATCAACAAATTATTCTGTCAAAAGGGGCAATCAAATAGACGCATTTTAAAACCCCAGTATTACGAATCCGGGAACGGAAATTTACTTTTTTTTTTTAATATTTCATAAGTTATCTGTAAAAAATACATTCCATTATTATTATTATTATTATTAACATTATTTACGATGTTAACTCCAGGCGACACCTTTAAATCATAAAAGCCTTACAACCTTTCTTAATACTATTTTAAGTACAAATAAGTAAAATAATTATGATTTAAGTTCTCCAAATTCGGGTATGCCATATGCAATATTTTTGCGCGCACAACTCCTTTTTGGGTAGCCGACCGCGCTTCAAAGTACCAGCTCTAGCCGTACCAATGAGCCTCATGCACAAAAGCTGAGCTTAAGCTTAAAATGAAATAAATAATTATTTGATATTTCCGGATTTATTGAATATTGGAAAATAAATATGTGTACTTTCAGTTATAAGTTTTAATTGTGCGAGTGCATAACTTGGCGGGTGCACATTTGCTCGCTCAACCGGGCCGCCTCACCCTTCTCCGCAAAAACTGGTTTTATGTTTTCCAGACAAAAATTTCAAAAGGCGCAATAAGACCATAACGGCTTTATTTCCATTTCTAGCTGGAAATAAGGCCGCATCGAAACTATGGCTTTATAAGTTTTAATTGTGCGAGTGCATAACTTGGCGGGTGCACATTTGCTCGCTCAACCGGGCCGCCTCACCCTTCTCCGCAAAAACTGGATTTATGTTTTCCAGACAAAAATTTCAAAAGGCGCAATAAAATCATAACGGCTTTATTTCCATTTCTAGCTGGAAATAAGGCCGTATTCGAAATTTCGCCAAGCGAAATAAAGCCATTATGGCGTTAATGCATATGGTGTTATTGCACCCCATCGTTTGGATAATTCTTTTTTCATTTGAAAATTTGTAGCTCAAGGGGGATGGCATACTAATTTCGTTTAGTTCCGTAATATCATGAAGATATTACGGTACTACTGATTTTTTATATGAGCATTGAAGTAGGTTGTATTTTGTGCTTAGAAATTACTTGTTATACTTTTTGTGAAATAAATAATATATGAAGTAATTTTTTAAGCTCATAAAGTTGTTAGAAAGGTTACATGTAAAAAAATTATCATATATTTATGTATACATATGTACATACATAGTTGCAAGCATGATAAAAACATTACAAGGTAAATTCATTCTCTCATTTCGTCGGCCATGACTTTTTTCTGACGTTTGCCAACATTTTAAAAACATATAAAATTGAAAATAAAAAAATTAAATTGTTCACAATTGTTGTTGTTTGAGGTTGAAAATGAGAATGTGTGTGTGAGTTTGAGTTTTGATTTTAAAATTATATTGTTGGCAAACGTCAGACTGCCTCTCAATGGTTTTACCTTGTTATGTTTTTATCATGGTTGCAAGTATACAAAGTCTCAAGTTCAGACGGTGCTTACGGGAAAAAGTTCACAACGGTGTCGTAAGTATCGTATTTTTGTATATTGTAAACTTTAAAAATTTAAATAAATGTTTAGAGAACTTGAAACGACAACCAAATATTTTTTAACACTGCATAAATTCATTATATGACTTTGATGGTACTTTGCGAACCCCCTTCATATATTTTGTAAGCGTTTAAAGTTTACGACATACAAGAATACGACACCGTTGTGAATGCCCCAAATATTTGTTCAGTAATTTAGCATTCCGTTCAATTTTCTGGCTGACTTTCAAAAAGTCAATTGCATTCCATACGTACAAAGTACCGATTTGAAAAGTATCCAATACTTTCGATACTCCGTACCGATATGTTGGAGTCTCTAATAGGAGCGAACAACAGCCAAAAATATGGAATAAAACCAGTTCAGTAGAGCTTAGAATCCTGAATGAAAGAGTAAATGTTTTATGAGAGCTGTGCGATGAAAACTGGAAGGGGGAATTCTCTAACACTTCTTACAGAGACACCCCAAAATTTCATGTTCCCTTGTTCCAAAAATATACTAAATCAGAATTTCGAGTGTACACATTCGCTTGGAACTGACGTCGCCACAATGCAAATTATCATTCATTTTCTTTGAGGAGAGAACTACCATGAGGTAATACGAATAAAAAAAAAATCGAATAATCGGGCATGTGCTGCAAATTGTACGATTTGAAATTGATGCGATTTGCAAATTATTTTTTAATATAATTAATGCAAGTAATAAATATTTCAAATAAAAACTGATCGAAACACAAAAGGATGTCATATTATTCGATTTAGAGGAATTTTTTCCCATTTTGTTAAGAACTCTCCAAAATGAATTTTGTAAATCGCACCGATTTCAAATCGTACGATTTGCAGCATATGCCCGAATGTTGTAACAATAACTATTGCAGTTGGCAAGACTGTTGCGATAAGTACAATAAAGCGATGAGACTGTTATTTGTAACGGCACTTGTTTCCGTTGCCGTACTTGTTTGCCGCACGCGCGATGCTTGCATTGAATCGGTATCGGGTACAGAAAAGGAAGTATTGGGTACCGAGATTTTTGTAAAGAATTGGCTACCGACAATTCAGCACATCACTATTCGCAACTCTGCATATACACTTAGTTGAAATAGCGCAGTAGAATAGTATTCAATACAATGGTGTTAGTACGTTATGGATGTCAGCCTCTATTTTTGGCCTTTTTTAAAATGATAATTTAACAGGGAGGCTCCAAGGCGTGACTTGGAAAAATAAATCAGCTACGTAAATAAGGATCACCATAGTGTACTTTTATATTTTTTTTTATTAGGGAACAATATTAAGCAGCTTACGTACCGATAATTTGAAGGCGAGCACTTTTCTTATCTGTCGACTCGAACGTTTGTACGGTGCACGTGTACTCTCCTGTCATGTTCCAGTCTGGCTTCTTTATGGTTATAACACCGGGACTTCCTTCCATTGTGAATATCTTTGTATCTATTTTGGACTTCATTATGCCCTTCAAGTAAGTTTAAATAAAAAAACCGCACATAAGATATTTTTTTTGTGTGAAATTTAACCCATTCAGAATTTGTAGATTAAAGGCTGATTGTCACTATGTCAAATTCAGTGGCATTTGTCGTCAAATAAGAGAAAACACATTGTCAAATGGGATTAAAAACCGGTTTATCGATTCATTTGGATCAGGATAGGTCTTTAGTCGTGTACATGCGCTGCTAAATCGGCTATCTGTCTGTGTTTATTTTTTGCCCATAATATCATGTGTAAGCATTCCGAAATCAAAGCGAGACAGTCTAGTACCGTTTTTGTCAATGTATCGTGTACTTGCGTGCCGTTTTTGTATATGTGTTGTGTATTTGTTTATTTATAAACGTATGTGTTCCTTTTCTTTCCCTGCAAAAAAGTGTGCGACTAATCTCTAAAGAGAGTATTCCGAGATTACTCTCATTAGGGTACAATTGGGCATTAATTAGTCGCAACTAGTCTCATACAGATACTAATGGAGATCAATTAGTCTCGACTCATCCCTTATGGGTATAATTGGAGATCAATTAGTCCCCAACTCATCTCTAACGGGTACTATTAACGATTAAATGATATGTACGCACTTAGTCAATGAAGTTTCATGTGCGGCGTTGGCACGCAGAGAGAGTATTCGCCTAACAAAACTGAGCACGCCGGTTCGAATCTCAGCTGGCGCAAATTTTTATTTTTTAAAAGTGACTAGTCGCTTTTTATACTCGTTCGAGTATAAAGGTGAACAATTAGTCTCTTCATAGGACATGCTCGAACAAAAGCGAACAGTTCATTCCATATAATGAGATCAAAAGTGGTATTAATCGCATGCTCCCTTTGCGATTGCTCCCGGCGTCATCCCGGATTAGTCCCATTTTTTGCAGGGTTCGTACGTGTTTATTGATATATCTGTACTGTAGTGTTTTCGGACGGTACTAGCTCTTACTGCCAATATAGGAGTATTACATATATGCATAATATCATCGGTAAAGGTATTGGTAAAGAGATAAAGTTGTGTCAAAATATGGCGCCAAATTTTGGCGTCAAAATATGACATAGCGAAAACCAGTCTTAAGTTAAAAAATTCCATTTGCATGCAAAAATAAGACAGTAATTTTTATTCAGAATTCGTTTATTAAGAAAAAAACTGAAATTTTATTTAAAAGTAAGGTTATGTTTTATTAATTTAAAGAAAATTAAATTAGGTTAACTAAAATTTTGAACTACGCTTTGACTAAAACGGCCAAAGAAACATAGTTTGTAATATCATAATCCGAACCGTTTTTATTTTAAATCTCTAAACCAAATTGCAAATAGAATTTTGCAAGAAAAAAGTAGAATTACATTGTATTATTGCTAACGTTTTTAGTTTTAAATGGAGAACCGAGTTTTTGCTTTATTTTTCATGGAATGAAATGACCATTTGAACCGAACTTATACGCTGCAGAGTTACCTATGAACCACACCGATTTTGGTAATGGTTTGCAGCCCTGGTTTGTAGTACTTTCATTAAGGAATGACATGATTTGACACCATTTAAGCGGCGTTTCAATGCGGACGTACACCGTTAAATATGTAGTAACTTTTTTATGAACAGTGCTATTTACTACAAGGAAGGACTATTTAGATAAACTAACTCAAACATTTAAATACTTGCTGATGTAGCCTACATACATACTTACCATGGCAAAGCCCTTTACTGATGGTATCCATTGGTAAATGGAATGATTGTTGAACAACCACTTCAGTACGAATCCCTTTTCGCGTGGCTCTACTTCGTACTCGCAGTCCAGCACCAGCGGATCCGGTTCGGTGTTCCGATCCAAAGTATACGTGTGAGGGACTTTAAGATTTGTTATCCGCACCGAGTTGGTAACTAAAGTACCGATACAACCAATGCTTTTTAATATAAAGTAATAATTTAAATTCTTCCAACTGTACCTGAGAGCAACGTCAGCCATGTGAGTGTGGAAATGCACAAGGACCATTTGTTCGCCATCAGCACCAGCATTTGAGAGATTATTGTCGCCCACGTACGATTCAGTGCAGTGCTGCCGCGCGTTCGTTGCACCGTTCAGAATGGGGTGAGCGACGAAGTGAACTGTTCACTTTACAATTTTCATGCTTTTCAATTCACTAACTGGATAAAGATAATCATTTGCATTAGAAAATGTTCGTATAACAATGTGTATGCATGTATAGGCAAATTTACCACAGCGGTGGTTTCGCTTAGTGGATTTACTTACTTATAAGATTAACCTAATACACGAGTATACCTAAACTTTAAAGTTGCTCTTCACCACATAATTAGGCCTTCGAATAGTTCGAGTATCGATGTTCGTCGTCTTTATTTTCGAGTATATGTATATGTATATACGTNCTTCGAATAGTTCGAGTATCGATGTTCGTCGTCTTTATTTTCGAGTATATATGTATATACGCATAACTTTTTTTGGATAAGTATCGATATTTGTGCAACGGAACGGATTTTAATTGTATTTAAACTATTGGTGATCCATTATCTACTGCTTTATTTAGTTGGTGTTTATTTGTGCCTGGTGCTTTGGCATTTCTTCTGTTATTTTCACTTTTGCCATCCATCCACTGTTCGTCGTACAAACTTTTGTGTGAAAAATCGACTTTTTAACGTTGAACAGCTATGTGTGTATGAAATTTTTATACTTGTGGGTACACAATAGTGTTGATTCCTTTTTGCATATATTTTCCTGCAGTTGTCTTCTTCCTAAAAGCTTTTGACTGATGGATTACTTGGCGCTTCTGCGCATGTTCTGTCCAAGATGCATAAATCGTAGATGAAAGCTTTAGCGTTGAAATAGCAGTGTTGCATTTTACAGTTTTCCTATTTTCTATTGACAACTGCATAGATACATATCGTCGTTTAAAGTACAAAACCGCGTATCAAGAAAATGCCAAACCTCGTATGTGATGTTGCCCGTAGAGAGCCAAAGCTGGAAGATGTCGTCGCGGGACTTTTGAATTTAAACTGGTATGGAACATTGCGGTTAAACTGATTTGATATACATATGCCATTGGTCAAGTATTTCCAACTAGGGATGTTTCGAATGTCATATTTTTCACATTCGCGAATGCGATGGCCAATGCGATGCGAATGTTAGGAATAACATTAAAAAAGCTTTAATCAACTTAAGTCATCGTTTTTATTACTTAAAAATTTTGTAAATTATTAGAACATTGAACGATTGCTTAACCTATACAGTGTTTTTGTTGTTTGTAGTAGTCAAAGTTCAAAAGGGGCTTATTATATTTCAAAAAAAGTAATTTTGCTGCCTTTTCTCCCATGAGGCGATATTTTAGAGGCTCGTATATAAGACCGGCTGCACTAAATTGCTCACTTGGAACGCTGGCGGGTGGAACGCTCAAGCATTTGCGGACCAGATCTGTCGATTTGTCGCATTTTAGTTTAGTTTTATACCAATCGAGAGGATTTTAACCGAGATGAGCTCGTTTTTCTTTAAGATAGGTCTTCAATTCAGCTTTAATTTCACTTTTTTAATGTCTCCAAATTCTACATCCAAGCCTTCGCTTTCGCCGGAGGAATCTAAAATTATTTCTAGATTGCTTATAAGACTTTTAGCAGAATCGTTGAAGGGTCATCAATGTTGCTTGATATACTAATTAACCGTTTAGCGCCTGAAGCTTAAAGCCGGTTATTGTCCGCACCCTGGCTAGACAGACTTAGAGCCATTTCAACAATATTAGAGTGGACTCTCTGCCCATGTAGACATTCGCATCAGTTGATTGGAATGCGAATGTCGAATGCGAATGTGTAAAATGATGCGAATCATTCGCATAACGAATGCGACTGCAAATATTCCCAACATCCCTGTTTCCAGCGAACAAATAAGACAAAAAATTAACAGCTCTATGCGGCGCTAGTACGAAAATATTTTAATCGGCAACTTTTTCAGTTTTTGTTAAGCCAAATTTACATTTTTCGGTTATAAAATGTTCGACAGCGTTCAGAATATACCAGTAAAGAGAATAAACTCTCATCTCTTCTGTCTTCTTCTTATTTCAAGCTGTAACCGCTTAAGCGATTTTGGCAGAGCACAAAGCACACCACACCAGTCGTTTCTCTTCTATACCAATATACGCCAATTGAAGCCAAGTTCTTCCCCACTTGGTTTTAGTAGAATATTTTCAAAGCTGGAGCGTCGGTGTCCATTCGAACGACATGGCCAAGCCAACGTAGCCGCTGTATTTTAATTCGCTGCACTATGTCCATGTCGTTGTAAATCTCATACAGCTCATCGTTTCATCGTCTGCGGTACTCGTCGTCGCCAACGCGTAACGGCCCGTAAATCTTCCGAAATATCTTTCTCTCGAATACTCCAAAAGCCGCCTCAGCGGATGTTTTGGTTGTCCATGCTTCTGCGCCATATACCAGCACGGGCATGATGACTGACTTACAGAGTGTGCTTTTTGTATGTCGGGAGAGGATATTACTACTGAAATGCAGTTCAAAGAAACACTTTTGGTCAAGTGTGATCTTGCGTTGGATTTCAATGCTGGTTCCCAAGTAAAAGAAATTCTCTACTTTCCCGAAATTATAACTGTCGACATTGGTGCGAGCGCCAAGGCGCGAATGCGCTGACTGTCTGTTTGTTGACTGAAGATACTTGGTCTTGCCCTCGTTGACCACCAGACCAAATCGCTTTCTTCCTTATCCAACTTCGATAAGATAGAACTGACTTCGCGATTTTTTTTTTACCGATGATGTCGATATCATCGGCAAACGTCACTTTCTACGCGAATTTTTCTGAAAAGCCTCGATCTTTTCGGTCATCAAGCATTGACATGATGGATTCATAATCAATGGTACGATCCAGAGCTGATACTCTAATGCTAAAGCTACGATTACACGAGATAATGGACTGAATAAACGTGTTGGGAGTGATACGTAGATATTAGGCAATAATGCATCCATCTTGAATTCGTGTAACTTTATAAGAGTTGGAATCGAGGCTAATGTTGGTTCCCTCAATTTGTTTCGTGAATATTCTTTAAATGACTAATTTCTGCAATCAAATGGACAGAATCGATAGCCTTACAAAAGGATGCTGGTTGCTAGGGATGAAACGAGTAGATACAAGTACCTACTCCATGCAGCGAGGTCTAGTCATTGGGAAGAGAAACAAAGAAGAAAAAGAGCCTCGGAAAGATTTGATTATAAAAAAATCTTTAGCAGGGATCACACGATATGTATTTGTACAGATTTGTGCATTTTGACAGTTGTAGAGTGTGGTTATTTGGAAACTTTTTTATTAAGCTGAGCTCATTTCTAAAAAAACGTCATTCTGTGGTCGGTCAAACTCTATAATCGTTAACCTATGAGGTAAAAAAATTAAATTTAACTTATTCAGTTCACACGGAGTACCTTCATAGCCAAAATTATAGATGCTTTCGATCCCATATTTTTCGGGTATCGATACCTTCTTTCGATATTACGTCCAAGTAAAAATATCGATGCCTGCATGGTATCGTTTCAGCCCTACTGGTTGCTGAGGGTCCCTCAGTTTACATCAAGATATTTCCAAAAAAATTCACTACTGCTCGTAAAAACGAGTCCTACGTCTCACAGTGTAAGATTTGACCCATCTAGCTGCTTTTAATTCTGTAATTCGAAAACTATTGAAGATAGATTAATGAAATTTTGCACAAGGTACGTTATAAGATAGGCGAAGCTTTTTACAAAAAATTGGTAATTTATAGTTACTGTCACGCCACCCTATTATATAACTGCAATTTTTAAAAATGCAAAAACTGTAATTTTAACTAACTATAAAGGCTAAAATGCCCAAAATTTATATTTAGAATTTCCCTATAACAAGGAATTATAAACTGACAGAAATGGACTTAAAAATAAATATATTTTTTACATTATGGGCGTGGAAAATATCGATTAAAAAGTCAAGTTGGGTTAACATAATTCCGTTATAAGTTCAATATTTCTTGCTCTATTTACAAAAATGGGATACCATTGGAAATGTAATGAATCAGGCTTTCTCTATTCAAAGCAAAAATACAAGAATTTGTCTCGGTCGAGATAAAATGCAAATGAATTACTCGAAGAAATAAATAAAATTCCCAGTAGGCCAGAAAAAAGAAAATTTCATCAAAACCTGCACTTTCCAGCAGCTTAAATTGTGTTGTTTAAAGTCTAAGAGGAGTGGCACGAGTTTTCGGGTCTAATAAAAATAATATTTTGCTAAAAATAAATTTAACTCAACATCGTTTTACTTTAACATGAAATACTCAGTCCTAGTTTACTAAAATCCCAAAAATGTATATTCATTAAAAAGATCATACTTAAAAAAATATGACCAAAATGATATTTTAGGAATTGATGCATAAATCACATAACACCGACAAATTAAATATTGAGATTCAGTTTCAAATATACAAGTTTATACATTATTAAACGACTGGCGTGCTTTGCTAACGACTGGCGTGCTTTGCTGAACTCGGCCAAAATCGCTTAGGCGGTTACAGCGCCAAAAAAGAAGAAGGAGAAGAAATATTATTGCGCTCGGTAATTTTCAAAATCAAACCCCGTCCCGCCATACACTTTGATTTAAATTTTTTAGTTGTTATCGTTTCGTCTTTATCAGCCATTTCTAAAAACATTTTTGACGTGTTTTTGAAATTTGGCGACATAAAATAATGTAATTAATCTTTTCTAGAATATGGAAATGATACACTGTGCGTCTGCCTTGCCTTCTCGGAATTAGATATAACAGCAAATCGCGAGGACAAAACGAAGTATTTCCTGTCATCAGACAAATAGTCAGAGCCTAAGCATCACGGCAACCACGTCACTATTGACGATATTGATATGTAGACGACTTTATTTATTTAGGAAGCAGCATTAACACCATTTTATAACGCCGAAAAGATAATTTTGAGTGCTGTATATCTCTCTCAGGCCGGAAATACTCAAGTCAAAGCCCTGATTACATCTAGAGCCTGTATAGATTTCCGTAACTGCGATTTTATTGATAGTGCCAAAACATCTTTTCTACAGATAATCTATTCCGGCACTTGATCGATTTTCTTCACAAAACTCTTACCCAATAGAATCTGGACAAGCTCTAGCATACAAAAATTAATCAGAAATATTAACTTATGGCGCTGCACAGATTCCCTCAACAACAGTTATCTCTAGTAGTGCCTGGAGTAGCACTACCACGCAATATTTTGATTTGGGTATCCAATTCAGGTGCTAGGTAGATTTTATCTAGTACGTTTTCGTTGGCAGCGCCAAAACAGTATGTATCTGCCCTGCGATAGCCTTAAAAAGGTAACCTTACCTGGCACAGGATAGGTTGTCC